GGGCTGGGGGCATGTGAGGGGGTGCAGGAGTCAGGGCATGGGGTGTGAGGGGGCTGGGTATGTGTGGAGGCTGCAGGAATCAGGGATGGGGTCGTGGGGGGGATGCAGGGGCCTGGGGTGTAAGGGGGGTGCAGGGGTCAGGGCAGAGAGCTGGGGGGGGTGGGCTGGGACCAGGGGGGTGCTCCCTGCCCCCTGAGCGGCTCACAGCAGGGGGCTGGAGGGATACACCCCGCTCCTACCCCGCTTCCCCCTGCCTCTTCTCCGCCTCCTTACCGGTCTGAGCAGCGAGGGCACTGGGGCTGCTCTTCTCCCCTCCCTCGCAAGGGCCATCGGCGGCAGGGAGGGAGAGGAGGCGGGGCTCGACGCAGCATGCTGGGGGAAGAGGCGGGGGAGGGGAAAGCTTGGCTGCCGGCGGAGCCTGCCGTACAGCAGCAGCCGGCAGGACCAAGCTTGCTTCTGCCCCCTGCCCTCGCCAGACAGAGCGGTAGGCGGGGGGCGGAGAAGAGCGGGCTGGGTTGGGCAGGATTTTTAATGGCATGATGCTGCCTGCCGGGGTCCGGCTCAGCCCACTGCCAGGGTTTGGCAGCGGGCTGAGCGGGACCCCGGCAGGCAGCAGCGTGCCATTAAAAATCGGCACACGTGCCATAGGTTGCCGACCCCTGATATACACAGTACATGAAAAGATGGGAGTTGCCTTACCAAGTGGGGAGTCAATCTAATGAGTCAATTCAATTAACAGTAGAATACCAAGGGAGGAAAAATCACTTTTGTAGTGGTAATGAGGGTGGCCTTGGTATTCTACTGTTTTTCCTCCCTTGATATTCTACTGCTAATTGAATTGTTAGACTGACCCCCCACTTGGTAAGGCAACTCCCATCTTTTCATGTACTATGTATATATACCTGCTACTGTATTTTTCACTCCGTGCATCTGATGAAGTGGGTTCTAGCCCACAAAAGCTTATGCCCAAATACATTTGTTAGTCTCTAAGGTGCCACAAGGACTCCTCGTTGTTTTTGCTGATACAGACTAACATGGCTACCACTCTGAAACCTGCAAAACCACTGTGGACTAGATTGTAGAGTCAACCATGAGCCCTAAGTAAGAGGCAGTGTGCAGTTGTGCTGCCTGAGAAGCAGACCAGAAATGAAACTGACTCAGTCACAATCTGGAGCCTACTTGACTCTTGCTCCAGGGGAAGCAAGCTGTGCTAATTCTAGACCTAGCAGCTTACTTCCCCCTGTACATCAGCTCAGCTGCGATGGCGAGCACATGGGTGGGGATGAGGGGCTGCAGAACCAAGGCTCCCCACTTCACCAACCTTGCCTGTCCTCCTATGCAGGAGTAGGGTGACCACATGTCCCGATCTTATAGGGACAGTCCCAATTTTGTGGGCTTTTTCTTATATAGGCACCTATGACCCCCCACCCCGTCCCGATTTTTCACACTTGCTGTCTGATCACCCTATGCAAGAGCAGCAACCCCACGGAGGCCACTCTCACTTCTACACACAGACCTACATTGTGGGTAGCCCATACAGGGCAGTAAGGGGATTCCTTGTGCCCTGCTACTCCTTTGAGAGCATGAAAAGAGAATCCCAACCAAGCCCTGTATCTAGGCCTGAAGGTGGAATCAATGCAAAGGCTCCAGTTCAGGCAGAATGCGGCAGAAAACCTCAGGTAGACAGGCTGTTGTGAGGATATCATACTGCGGTCTGATCCCTCCACTGGCTGCCAGTCTACTTCTCTTGCCAGTTCAAGGCTTTGGCCCTGATCTACAAAGCAATCAGCAACTGAAGACTAAGCTATATCATACACCACATCCTCGCCATGACCCACTAAAACAGCTGTACTCTGAAACAATGCAGAGTATGAAAGCCGTGACAAACACAAGAGTGGGAGGCAGAGGGAGTTCAGCTGTAGAATGACCTTCCGGAGGAGATTAGACTAATC